AACAACCTTTACGGCAGAAGAAAAGTATTGAAATCAGATACCATGTTAGAAACTTGCTTCAAAAATTTTTATGACACAAATATAATCATATTGTTTGATTTGTAGCACAATGAGCTCTAACGTACTGGCTAACGTTTTGGACGCCTTGATCGAACTTCGAGAAACCTTGTCCTCGGACATGTCATCATTTTCGCGGCCGTATGTGAGAAGGGAACACATTCCCTTCTTTGATAAAAAAAAACTTTTGAAACTAAAAAAAACTGAAAGAAAAAAGAAAAAGAACTTTTATGAAGCAGATTTCTAGCATGGTATTATTATTGCAGGATGATCGCCTCAGGTCCTGTATATTCACCACTCAGTGAGACTGCGTTCAAGAATGAAACTGTACTCGCGATCATTTCGAGAATCAACAGCAATAAAGGTGGTAACACGAGTAACACTGGAAGCATCGGCAACACGAGTAACACGAGTAAAACCGGAAACGTCGGCAACATCGGTAACACTGGAAACATCGGCAACACCGGTAACACTGGTAACATCGGCAACACGGGCAAAGTATGGCCAAAGCCTAACACATGGTAGCAGCTAAATAGCAGCTTCACACCATTTTTCTGATGAAGCCACGGGGTAAACAACCTTCAACAATGGAGATAGGCAAATTTTCACTTGGTTATAGTACCAGAGTGGCTATTGAAGGGGGTAGAACTCCAATCATTCACGCTTATCCTCCTTTATTCTTATCAGCAGTTCGGTATCCACATTTACAGTTTGCCATGAACTTGAGCTGTTATCGAGTGAGCTCCCTCATAATAAATCTTGAAATGACCTCGCTCACTTCTCTTAGGCCTTGGCCGTACCTCACACTAGTTCAGACACCACGCAATCTTGCAATTTTCCAGGTATCCTTAAATCTAGCACTTGCATGCAAGTTCTTACTCTGTATAAAGTTCGAAGATTGATAAAATGTTGCCAACCTGCGTCTTTACTGAAATCGCGTAAGGATGGCAATGTGTGCAACTAACATACCATGGATTTGCACGAAAAGGTGGTCAGGGGTACGTTAATTTGAACATCGATGTGATGGTTTCACGTATGCATGTAATGGAATGAAGGCTATTAATTTAGTGTTCTATTGTAACATAACGATGATGTTAAGCTGTTGGATATTTCTTAGTTTGAGATAGAATGAAGCAATCATTAAACAACTACGGTAGACTGTTGCTTGCTTGCGTATTCCGTGATCTTATACGACCGATTTAACAGAGAGATCATGAAGATGATCATGGTTACCAATTTCCAACCATAATTGAACCATCACGTCATATGCTAATCTCAACCAAATTAATATCACTCCAGAAAAGTTATGAATTAGAGCTGAATTCATGACACAGATTTTCACGAATTTTGTAAGCTTTTGATATGGTGTTATCGCACTTTAACACATTGACGGCCACTTGATACACATGGTGTTCAAGCAATGACTACCTTGTGGGACCGTTTGACACTTGTGTGTCAAAGTTTATATTTCGTTAAGATGACGACTATTTTGGGATAAACTTACTCCAGGAGTTTTTCTTTGCACTACATATAGAGACAACCTTCCTCTTTTCGTCTTTCAGAGACTTAGGTATATTGTAGATGTAAGTATGAGTGATTTGATTTGAAATATGTTGGCTAAGCCATAGAAGCCCCGGTCCCAAAAGGCAGACAACCGAATATTTGCATGGTCGTCAGTGTGCTAAACTCGGCTGCACGAAATTGCCCAGATTAGTGTATGCTGGACGCACGCAAGCTTGCTTGCAACGCGGTTGCCAAGTACGAGCGCTATGATGACTCATGCGCGCGATTGCCAATGTCAGCCCGCAAGAGCGACGCTAGCGGGCGTTCACCCCGGTCGATTCCGTGCACTCAACTGTAAGGGATTGTAAAACAACCGTTGCGGTTTACTTAGCATAACTCAGGCACTAAGCATTGCGATAGTGTATAATTTGCATATTAAATGTTGGCCTCTGTGATTTTCGTAGTGTGGAGTTTTCAGGCTGTTTGGTTTGCTTTCCAAGACGGAATAGGACCCTCAATGACTCAAAGCTCTCTTGCAAAACCTTTACGATACTCTTATAGTAGTAAAGTTCGATGCTTTGCTGTACACTATACACCGTGAACTAAGTTGTTGCTAGCTCTAAAATACGCTGTTCGAAAAAAGGCAAAAGCGTTGCATACAGAGATTTATCACAGTTCAGACACTTGATACATGTTCTGGGACACTTTACATAGGCCTAAGCTTATGCTTGAAAGTACTGAAATAAGTCATGTTCAAATAAAGATCAAAACACCAGCGCTGCTGCGTTGGAAACTTGTATAGGTATAGCGACCACACCTATATTCAGCTGTGGATTGCTAATCCACTTTGTAAAGGTTGTTGGTTGTAGGCTTGCATCAAAGAACTGTCACACCAGAAGCATACATGACTATAACTCCGGTGGCGAAGTGCATTGTTATGAACATTGATGTTTGTGCTTACCGGTTTTTTATGCGGAAATATAGCGACAAGCCCATAGTTTCAGTTTCTTTGACCTCATCATCCAATTTTGCTGCTGGCGAGGCTGATGAAGCAGTGTTGACATTTTTTGCATCTTCACTGGATGGCATTGCTTTCTAGCATCCTTCTTGATGGAAGAAAATCACATGAAATGCGTGACACAAGTAATAACGCATTACTTGGTCTTGATTTCCGACTTTGCAGCAAACTTTTGTCGACCGCACGTTGTGAAACTACTAAGAAATGACATGCCACAAAGCCGAATCGTTATCGGGGGAATGTGTACAGATAGTAATTACGAGTGAATATCTCTCTCTCTATGCCAAAAAGTAGGGCCATTGAATGGTTGAAGCACTGAGAAACGTCTTGAGAGACTTTTAGGGATTGAGACCCCTTCAGTCTTCAGGGAGTTTCAGTTTGTTCCCGTGATTTCCGAGTCAGTGATACTGTGTACACTAGCGAGGAAGCAAGAAGCTTACCAAGCATCACCTGCAGAATAAGCGATGCATGCTGATGTAATAACATGAACAGATCTTAGTGTTTGTTGAAAAATCGATTTTCCAGTTCCAGAATGGTGGTCTTCGAAGATGATTAGTACATAGATATTGAATGTGTTGACCTCGTAATAAATGTAATATTTATCACATGCATTAAGTTGGCGGATAATTTCTGTACAATTTTTTATTTCCCAAAAATCTAAGAAACTTTCGAAAATTCTTAGGTTCAGGACGTGCAGGGGTGCGAAGGTCTGCGCCGGTACTGTCAGTGCACAAAATACTCACTTATCAAAAAGGAAGATTTTGACAAGTTTCAATTTTTTTTGATTTACTTTTCACCCTGTTTTTGACATGTTAGCGGCAACAAAGTGCTACCTTAAAAGAGGCAGTGCAGAAATATGTCATAATAGAAAAAATGATAGGAGAGAAAAAACAATATTAGAGGCTGAGAAAAAATAAAAAACAAAATTGTCATAAACTTTCTAGCTATTTGTGTATTCGCGGCATCAGTCATGCTGTTGTATACGCCCTGTCGTGCCCTAAATATGGAGCAAATTTGAAGTTTCTAGAGAACTTTTTTTAGAAATCAACAAAATAAGTGTATTAAAAGTCATCCCAACCTAATATATCAAGAAGTCTCTGTCAAGACAGCTAGAAATCCATTGAGTGGGGTTAATATATACAATTTCCTTCATTGTGATGCCTGCAGATCCCTGCAAGTTCTGGGTGTACAAAAACGAAAGTCAAGGTTAAACAGCCAATTTTTCTTCAAGAGTGATACGTGGAGCGGGAAACCCGACGTGCGAGTTTCGAAAAAAACAGATAATTTATAGCTCGATTCTCGCGAGCAGCGATAGCAAAGAAGAGCAATGAACTATGTTTTTTTACACCAGCTGTAGTAGTCGGTTGCACAATTGGGAAAAAAAGCTTGCAAAAGTAGGACGACAGCCGAGATAAATCAGTATCTCATGATAACATGGTATAGAGAAGAAAGTAGTTCTCGGTAAGAGAAAAAACTTAACTTTACGTGAAGCCTTCTAAGTAAAGGTTGCTTCTTGTCTGTACTATTTTAACGTTCGAATAATCTGACAGAATGAAACCAAAACAAGGCGTCATAGCAAAAGTGTGTGGTGACCGATGTGCAATAACTGTCAAAAACATGATCTATGAGCAGGTAAGTTATACTCTACAGTCAGCTTGTCTAAAAGTGCAATCATAGAAGCTTACAGATATGATGGGCTCTTTCTGAAAACCTCCTACATTAAATAAGAGCAGGGGTGATCTTTCACTGTAAAACTGCTGAAGCCAGCCCTGCAATGCCTCTTAAAGATCCGCAAAAGCTGTTTAGACAGAAAAGTTATCAGCGATCGGACGTTCGGTACATTTTCGCTACAGTATGTTTCTGAGCACTACATGCAAAACGCGGCTTTTCGATGAACATTTTGCCGCATCCGAAGTTATACTTCATGCAGGTTTTTGAGACCACCATGCAAGCGACAGCTGCTGCACATGAACCGCTCATTACAGAAAGATGAATGAAAATCTAAAATTTTTCCATATGCTCAAAAGTTCTCCGAGATGCTTTACAGTACTAGCCCACACATGATTTGGTCTTCATATATAAGCTAAGCGATGAACAAATCAAAATGTACGCTATCAAGATTCGCGCTTGAACTGCTTCATTTTTTCATCCAAATTGATTAAACCTCTTTCCGCATGCTTTTCTGCTGATCATCAGGGCTTTTTGAAAATAAGTTTTATAAACTTGCTAGGAAAGTAATAAAAAGCAAAAATGTGGAAAATTTTTGCTGACTTTAGACACAAAGGTGTGAGAAAATTTGTATCTTATCATGAGATAATGGGGAATTTTGTCAGTCTTGCGACGCTCTTTAGAACTGCATGTATTTTATAAGCGTGCCTTACACTTTTGTGGAAATCGTTGTTTTTTTTTTTTCAGGTACACGATGGCAGAGAATGCTGTCTTGGTCGCGATGCTACTTGGTAAGAAATGCTTATTAAAATATGTTAAAGTCAACATACATTGTTTCAGCTTGTTTTTCTGCAACGTTATGCATGTAAGTTCCATGTTTATCACACATTGAGCGCCGAACAATCGGCCTCTTGCTGAAGCAAGTTCGAATTAACTACCTATTGCTATCTAGGACTCCAGAAGATGTTAAAAAGCACACTGTAGCATCGCTAAGTGTAGCACCTGTGGGCGATGGACATCACGGCAGAGACTTCTATAAATAGTTAGTATCTTACACTTTATAGCTTATTTATGCAATGTGAATCAACATGAGCCTAGCTTTCTAACTACGTACCCGGAAAATCGCAAATTCTACAAAGGCGCCGAAAATTATGGTGAGGAAGAGATCATGAAAAGCGAGAGGTAAGGCTCAGTAGGAGTTCGAAGTTCAGTATATGATCAACGCGGTTTTAGATTTGACAAGCTTGGAGATGCTATTTTGTTGTTTGTCCACGTTCTAGCCAACACATATGACAATGTGAGCTCCGAAGCATAAAGTAGTACCTGTCCGAATAACTCAGGGTTTCTAGGAACCGGTATTCCGAGCCTTCTGCCACAGAGTCATGCTTGAGCACAAAGACAGGGGCATTGACCCTGCTTTGTGGAAGGTCACCATCATTTTGAGAGAACAGAGAGACTAATGACCGAAACAAACTCTTTCTCGTCTCCTTCAGATATTCTTCAAAAAATTCTGGAGAGGTTACCTGGAGAGCAAAGGAGCTAATCTAACCGATGAGCAAAAATTAGCATGGGACACCTTAGGCGTAATGTTCAATGAGGAAAGTCAAGCTGCTCTAGCCAAAATGGGACTTCCTCATGAGTAATCTATTTCTGCGTAATCACCTCAGCACTTAAATGATTTTTGGTGAGACAAATGACTTTGAGGAGCGCAAAGGAGATCAAGAAGCATGTTGTTGAGTCTCTTAACGTAGCTCCGGTGGGCGATGGACATCATGGCAGGGATTTCTATAAGTAGTCAGTGATCGATTTCTTCTGGGCTCTATAGAGTGAGAAACTCAAAAAGTTTCGTTGCAGTTTCTTGACAACATACCCAGATAATCGCAAATTTTATAAGGGAGCAGAAAATTACACCGCGGACGACATAATCAAAAGTGAACGGTGGGCTATGAATTTGCATAACTTGCAATTGCACAGTTATGAATTGCAAAGCTTGCAATTTACAAGTATACCAATCATTCATATAGGTTTGACAAGCTCGGGGACGCCATTCTACTATTTGTCCACGTACTGGCCAATACTTACGATAATGTGAGCCCTACTAGGAATACAATCATTCTTTAGGTCAATCAATTTTAGGAACCTGTGTTTCGAGCCTTCTGCCACAGAGTCATGCTTGAGCATAAAGACAGGGGTGTTGACCCAGAGCTGTGGAAGGTATCTCATATTTTGAGGCGATATCCAACAGTAGTTTTGATAATGCCATATCAGTGTATGAGATTCATTTTTTCGCAGGTGTTCTTCGACAAGTTCTGGAACGGTTATTTGGAGAGCAAAGGAGCTACGCTCACTGATGAGCAAAAATCGTCATGGCACACTCTGGGAGTGATGTTCAATGAAGAAAGTCAGGCAGCGTTAGCCAAGATGGGACTTCCTCACGCATGAATCTTTCGTCAACAGTGAAATTTATTAATAAATATTTACTTTTAGGTATTGCGAATGATTTTTGTTTTTGGGCGTGATTTAATGCCGAGAGGCATATTACAGCAGACCCGATACGGTGGTTAAAAACATGATGGTCAAAATTTGAGCATGTTTTGAGACATAGAGACATCTGACTAGCGCATAATCCTTGATTTGAAAAAGGTCATAGCCTAAGTACGGAAGCTTTTGGATTTGCACGGTTCCAGATCTACAAATTACCTCAAAATAAGTGAAGCTTAACCTGCTTTATTTATTTTCCTGCAAGCAGTGTTTAGAGGGCCGCCAAGGTTTTGCCGCAGGTGACATGGTTTTCGCTCAAAAAGAGATCGATTTTTGAGCAAATACATTGAGAAAGCAAACGACCTACTTCTTCTCGACCCTACATTTGAATGGTTTTGCAGCCATTTTTATAAGGGTATTTGTGCTGCTGTAGTAATCTCAGAATGCTTAGCAGAATTAAACCTGTTATTAAGTATCTGTCTTTCTAGACGGTGATTGAAAACATCGAATGTAGCACAACAGCCATAAGGTGACCAAATTGATAAAAGTCTGGAACTTAATCGCTTACTCAGATGTGCAATTTGGCCACTTCGACGAGAGTGCATGCGCACTGAACTCAATCGAAAACATACTTGCATAAAAATTTGCCCACGAACAAAACAGGAACTCGTACTATTTTAAACCTTTCTTGTAGTTCATAAAATATTCCACAATTTTGCCAACAATCCCAAAATTAGTTCGAGTCTCAAATGCCGACGTTAGTTGTTTTCATTTGCAATAATGTCTCGCTCTTGTAATCCGCACCAAAAACGTAGTGGTTGAAGCAATTTCATATATTTTTCGCCTCTTGCCTATGAAAAACTGGCTTTAAATTAAAATTCTAAATGAGCTAACCCTCTTGACGTTCTTTGCCGTAGTGCCAGTAAAGACAATCACTAAGGTCAAAGAATAGTGATCAAAATTTCATTTTACAAGAATAAGATATGACTGCTCATTATCTGTGCACAATGCTGGTTTGGACTTTCCATCGTGATCCTTAGCAAAAGTACGTGGTAGTAAAGTGCGGCCGAATTTCGAATTCTAGACAGCGTGAGGTGCCTATCTTCATATTAAATAAAACAGGAAATCACAAGAATCATCACATCTATGATTGAGCAATTTGCAAATGGCCAATGCACACTCTTCAATTTTTTTCAAGAAGAAGGTTCAAGTCACACTGCGCGAACTATAAATAAGTACTCCGCACGACACAGTGTGATTTTCCACAAGTACGAAGACTTTTGTATCCTGTCAGCCTCTCCTGAATCTTCTTGCTAAGCGGGTGACAATCGAGTGTAAGGAAATTGAGGACATATAGGTGTGCTTTTCTGCTTCACTAGCCCTCTCCTCATTTCTTTATATTTTTCAAGCTTCGTTTGAGCTCACCATCATATCATCATTTAAATTCGTCTTGTAATCTTAACTTACTTACCAGCTTACCGCCTTACCATCTTACCATTAATATTAAAAAATGCTGCTTGCTTGTCATCATCATTCTGTGAATAGGATATAATCTAAGTGGCCCTTCGAGGTTTCGTAAGAGCAATGAATTGTTTTTACGGATAATAGTGCTGTTAATCTGTCAATAACTGATCACATGATATTGGGATCTTGTTACAGCGAAAGCTACTGAGAGATAATTGAACCATAAAAAACACATGACGCGCCTCGAAAAAGTCAAATTTTTTGAAATTTGAGATTACCCAGTCAGTGCTAAGGTGCTCCCAAATTTAAGTGTTTTTGGTACTGGGCTCATGCCGGAATTTTCAATACTTGCCATAGGGAAGTCATGATTAGCTGGCATGTAGTAGCTGGAACTTTTTTGGTTTTGATAAGTTTATTGACAAAAATCGAGATTTTTTCTTCTGCAAAAACATGGTTTTTTCTGGCATTACGAAGCACAGGCGGCAGTATGGGACGGTTATAAAAGGCTCGGCAGCCTGCATCCGAACAGAACCTGCTTCACATCCACTCGAGTTTTCCTCGTTTTGTCCAATCTTAACTGCTAAATCAATTTTTTAAAAACATCCAAACATCTTATCATTGATATCTCGGCTAAACGTCGCGATTATGAGTATGTAAATAGAACAAGTATAATTCATGTTGATTAAGAAAATTTATTTCAGAGTCCAGCGGTAAAAATGGCACCAATGTGAGTTATAAGGAAAACTTTAGCAATATTAAAAAAAACGGTATTCAAAATGTTTTTGTTGAATTCTTGTAGGAGCGCAGCAGATGTAAAGAAGCACACAGTCGAGTCGCTTAAAGTTGCTCCACTAGGTGACGGTCATCATGGAAGAGACTTCTACAAATAGTAAGCGTTATAAATTAAGATAATTGTATCTATTAAACAACACAGTTTCTTCACATCCCACCCTGAAAATCGAAAGTTCTACAAGGGCGCTGAACAATACACCGGTGAGGATGTACTGAAGAGCGAAAGGTAGGATTAGCAGAAATTTTCTTTGTTTATCAAACAAAACATCACAGATTCGACAAACTTGGAGACGCCATTTTACTATTCGTCCATGTCTTGGCCAACACATATGACAATGTAAGTAACCTTTCCTCCTCTTCGTGCTTATAACTAAATCTATCTTTAGGAGCCAGTTTTCCTCGCCTTCACTCACAGAGTCATGATTGAACACTTTGAAAGAAATATTGATCCAGCTCTGTGGGAAGTGGGTTGAAATTACTGCGAGGAAATTCTCATAAATGCTACATAAGATCCTTGTAGGTGTTCTTCTCTACGTTTTGGCAAGGATACTTGGAGAGTAAAGGGGCCACGCTTAGTGCTGATCAGAAAGCTGCATGGAATACATTAGGTGTGCTGTTCAACAAGGAAAGCCAAGCATACCTGAACAAAGTCGGACGTCCCCATGTATAAGCTTTGTCGCAGTATGTGTTTAGTCTGTTCTGCTTAATTTTGCTAATAAAGATCAGCATGCAATAGTTCTCAGCAGTCATAATGAAGTACATGCTCATATAAGCCACTTACGACCAAGTCCGCATGGAAACTTCAGCAATTTTTCAGGTGAAGAGCAAACACATAACGGTGATTCTTCCTCAAAGTGATTAATGCTGTGCCTTTTATCCTGTGTAATGCAAACTGAATATTTTCAAGATACAGATGCATTGTTGGGAATATCAAAATTTCTGAAAGCCTTAACGGTCATTTCCATTAGTCTAGCCGTTTTGTAACACAATGTAATGCCAAGACTATGAACAAATAATAATGACCTTAATTCAAACACTGTACCCAAATCTCAGATACAGAACCAAAGGTAATACCAAAGTACCGACTTTGGTGGATGAATATGGGATGTCTTTCAGGAACGGCAAAGAGAAGGCAAATGCTCTGGGAAGATATTTTGCTAAGGTGTTTGACAATGACAATTTTGAAAACCAGGATCTATCGAATCTGTCTCCAAAGGTCACCTTTGTTGCTACAGCATGTGATGATATACAAGTCAATCCTGATACAGTATATGAAGTTTTAAGGAGACTGAAAGCTGTTGCAACATCCACATATGATGGAATTCCTCAGATTGTTTATAGAAACTGTGCACGAACATTGTCCTTTCCCCTTTCGTTGATATGCTCGATGTCTCTACAATTTGCTAAGGTGCCAAAAATATGGAAAGAAGTTCTTGTTACTGCTATCCCGAAAAAAGGGCAACAGAACACCTTGTCAAACTATCGGCCCATAAGCATAATGCCTCCTGCGGGAAAAATCCTTGAAAAAATAATACGAGCTAAGCTTTATGACTGGTTTGATAAAAATAATATCCTTCCTCCTGAACAACACGGGTTTTTACCGGGCTGTTCCACCACAACCCTACTGGTTGATTCTACTTTTGATTGGATAACTGCTTTAAACAATGGACAATCGGTAGATATCATATACTTTGACTTCTCAAAAGCTTTTGATAAGGTAAATCATAGCAAACTTCTATACAAGCTAGAAAACTACGGCATAAGAGGGACTCACCTGTCTTGGTTAGCATCTTACTTACATGATAGGAGAATGACTGTTCGTGCTGGAGAAGACTTTTCAGATCGTTATCAATGTAGTAGTGGAGTACCCCAAGGTGGCATTCTCTCACCGTTGCTTTTCCTTCACGTCGCGGATTTGCCTAACTATCTGAAATCCCATCCGAATCTGAAAATTCAGATGTTTGCAGACGACATTAAAATATATTTTTGCTACGACCAATCAACAGAGTGAAGCATTCGCGGTCTCTTCATCCACAAAAAGGATGGAGATATGGTCTAGAGAATGGGGTATTCCTGTAAATGCCTCCAAGACTATGGTAATGCACCTTGGGAATTCCCAGTGTTGTACGTACAACTACAATGGTATCAATCTGCAAATCTCTAATTCAATTCGCGATCTTGGTGTTATGATAGAGTATTCTCTTACTTTTGATACTCATGTAAATACTATCATAAAAAGGTCGTCTTCAACGCTTTTTACAATTTTTAGAAATATACATAGTAATGATCCGGAAATTTTCTTGCGATTGTACAAAAGTTACGTGTTACCTCATCTTGAGTATGCATCGCCCATTTGGAGTCCATTTTTGAAAAGAAACATTGATAAAGTTGAAAAAATTCAAAAGACTTTCACGAGGATTCTTTTTATCGATGCTTTCCCAATCCAGGATATCCTCATGCCTTACCCTCCTATCGTACCCGTCTCGATATGTTACACCTCTATAGTCTGAAGTATAGGCGTGTTGTTAACGAACTTGTACTATGCTTTCGGATTCTGATTAGAAACTAACCTAAAAGCCAGTAAATACTGGTTTTTTACCGTGCAGTGACCGGACAGGTAGGTTTGGTTTGCAATATCGCAAAATAGAAAGAAAACATCTTTCGATGACTTTCAATTCCTTTTTCTATCGAACATCAAGATGGTTTTCTGCATTACCAAATCATATCATATCCAGTGAAAACTCCAAGATTTTTCGTAAAAAACTGTTAAATGTGAATGTGCTTCAGCTTCTTGATATTTCTGATTTTTAGATGAGTCTTGTTCAAAAGTGGTGCTTGCGTTCTTCGTACTGCCTCAGTTCGTCCTTCTATCATTTGACGCTATCCTTTCTGCTTTCTGGTTCGCTTCGCTTGGATAGTCCACAACAAGGATAGAGAATGACTGCTATTTGCCTTGTTTGTTATGTTACTAACCATAGTGCTTCCACTAATGATTAGATCAACCAGCCTCATTCACAGCATATCCCTCCCGTAGCCCAGTCCCACCCCCACTCTGTCGGATATCAGTCGCGCATAGTTGGTAGACGTTCATTCCTACATCTTTCAGTGAATCTTGCTCATTCAGCCGGGGTCACGTCAGCTAGCTTTTACCGGGGGGCTCGCTGACACCCAAAAGGGTCTTCATTAACTTTAGAAGAAGCAAGATTCTACAGATTGTTCTGGACATAGCGCTTTTCCCTTTGGTATGCTGCAATTAATGGCTACATCGTCATTATGGAGCTTCGGTAATTGTCTTGTTTAGTTTTGTCTCCCATTTATATCTCTTCTTCCTTCTGTGACTGAGGATTGGCTGGTTCTTTGTCTTAATTCCATGTTACCTTGATTTTCTGTTCGATTTCGATTTTCTAATGGTGCACCGCGAGTGTATGCATAAAATAAAATAAAATAAAAATAAATAACGAATCTAGCAAATTAATCGGAAAAGTTTCCCCATTTCTGTGTTATATAGCAACCAATTACGATCTCCAAAATCAAGACATACCAAAAACTGATATTTCTCTGTCACTCAAATCAGGAGCTAACGGAGCAGATCGAACTCAAAATTACTTGGAAAGTGTAGGTTGTGGCTTGAAAGCCTTCGCCTATAGTGCGTTCCAAATTAGGGAAATGTTGACCATCTTCAAATTTTCTAAGGTAAAAGCACTTAAAATAGGAAACTTTCCTTGATTCAGCACGAATCGGAATTTACGGGAAAAAGTTGGGTATCCGATGCGGCTAGCTTATAAACTTTTATAAACTTATAAACTTTTTTTTGTCACTTTCAAATCTTGAGCACGGGTGCGCTGGGTTGGAATTATAAGTTTAATTCTTCAAGATATTTTGGAGCTATCTCAATACGGAGAAGCTGCATAGGCATAGTGTTTGAGCGCTCAACAATCATCGCTCGTGTGGGTGTATAACCTTTTCGACACTTTACCGAGTAGGGGTTCGCTAAATGGGCACAATATCGCGTTATGTTTATCGGCATTCCTAGCAACAGAAAGACATTATGAATGCAGATACAGGGTGTCCGTAAAGTATGTATACACTATTTGATCGTTAATATCTTTCCGAGCAAGTCTTTTGCCTTGCTTCAGGTACCGTTTCGTAGAGCAGGCTTCAACTTAGATTCACAGTACGGAGCGAACCACCGATCGCTCTTCATTAGTGTAGGATTACGGTAGAAACATGAAACATATGGTGTCAATGTGGAAGACGCTGCCGTCTCAAGATTTTTCAAAATAAAATGCGAAAACTTGTGTGATAGGGTTTTTATGGACGTTGAGTTCAATACTCAACTATTCAAAAGATTGCGAAGCTTTTTAAACGGTGTAACCGCACATTTTGAGAACATTGAAAAAATGGCCGCTACCTTTTACCCAGCATATCTCTTCAATGAAGCATCACAATAAGTTGAGAACTTTACAGTTAGAATCAACAACTTTAATTAGCCTAGTGTAAAAGCTTCCAGGCTGTTTTGTTTCTTTCTGGGGCAAAATATGGCCTTTCATGGCTCAAAACCCTCTTTGAAATTCTATCATAATCCTACAGTAATAAAGAGAGATGGGTTTTTTTCTCTAATGCAAATCTAAGTTGAAGCCAGCTCTACAAAACGGTACCTGAAGCAAGGCAGATGGCTTGTTGGGAATAGAGATATTAACGATCAAACAGTGTATACATACTTTATGGACACCCTGTATACAGGGCACGGCACGAGGTGGGCAAAAGGGGTTTTCGAAAACGAATTCCCCTTTGACCCAAAATTTTTTTTACGATTTCCCCTTTGAAACCGGAAACGGGATGGTTATGCTTGCGCAGTACACACTATATCAGGAAAACATTAATTAGAAGAAAAACACCCATTTACGCTCACACGCTAGCATTGATCTCTAGATACTGGGCGATTTGTGCGTTGTATGGCATACAATGGGCTTCATCGTTGTGAGAGCACTGAATAATAATGAAACACCACAAGACAATTGTGTAAATTCTCACCGATCCAACAAGCGGATTTCTCTCTTGAATATAAGTTGGAGCATGTAATGGTGGTGCAACGCTTGGCACCCACGACATATGATGCATCAGAACGGTTGAGATTACATTTGACAAAAAGCTGAAATGGCAAACATGACGATGAACACTAATCAGGGAGTAATTCGCACTTACAATTTGGTATGCTTCGTATCAAGTTTTTCCACCAGTCGTGTCAGCTGTCGACAGAAATATGCTACAACAACGTTTTCATTGTGGTCGCGTTCGAATCAGCTGGATACGATTTTCGCCCCTAATCGTCGTGGACGCAGCCACCGACGACGACCAAGAAGATGACGTCCGAAGCGAGGGACAGAGAACAATGGAAACTTCTGTACTGTGGCCCGCACGACACGTGAGGACGGGCCATCTAACAAGGGAAGCGCATTCAGTCGAAGTGACCTTTTCATATGAGGCCCATACTGCTTTGAAGAGTATTGCACGGTGATCCCAAATCTGCCTTCCAAATCTGCCAAGCACCTCTGTGGCCGTATTCATCAACGTTACCCAGTGGGTTCCGCTTCCCAGTGGATAAACTTACCCATGGGTTCGCTTACCCAGTGGGTAAGCTTACCCATGATCGGTATTCCCGAACCCTCTGCCGCTGGGTTAGCTTACCCAGCGGCGCTGACGTCAGCAGGGTGCTCATTGACGTCTATTTAA